TATATATATCTATATATATATATATATATATATATATAGTATATATATATATATATATATATATATATGTATATATATATATATATATATATATATGTATATAATATATATATATATATATGTATATAATATATATATATATATATATATATGTTTATAATATATATATTATGTATATTATAAATATACATATATATATATATATATATATATATATATATAATATATGTGTGTATGTATGTATCACATATATATATATATATATATATATATATATATATATATATATATATATATATATATATGTATGTATACATATATATATACGTACATATATATATATATATATATATATACGTACGTACATAAATACACAAATAGATATATATATATATATTATGTGTGTGTGTGTACACGTGTGAGTGAGTGAGTGTGTGTGCGTGTGTACACTCGTATATATATATATATATATATAGGCTGTATGCTGTATGGAATCGACAACATACCGGGCAGATGTAATTGCAGCCAGTCCACAGGTGACTCGTCAATTTCCCGCAGTGACGGTTCCCAAGGCAACTTCCCCTGCAATTCAGGCACTCGCGTGTACAACGGAGACCGGATGTAATGCTTCTCAGCTCGTTTTCTTTGTTCGGGGAGTGGATCCACGACCTTAACCTCCTTGCACATACGCGCCTATATGATAAATTATATGGTAGATTAGTAGGTGTAACTGATTCAGTTCTAGGTCAAATACGTGCAAAGATTAACATAAAATAAGCTTAAATTACTCTTGATGCGCACGAAGACACAGACAGTGACATAAACATCCGAGTAAGCAGAGAAAAATGTTTGATTATGTTAGGTATACATACAGCGTTAACATAAACAAGCACAAATTCGTTTATTTGTACAAGTCGTCATGTCGAATGTATGCGCACACGCATACACATACATCAACGCAAACACATCGAGTAGGTAGAAAAATATACGTATACACACAGACACAGACACAAAGAAATCAGGTAGGTGGATGAAAGTAACTGAATTCAATGTCGAGCCTACATGCTGGGATTAACATACAAACAAGATTACGTTCATTTTAAATATGTTTATATTCACTATACCTGCGCACACGGACACAGCCGTTGACACAAACACATTGAATAGGTAGATACATATGATTGAAATCTATGTACGATAAACCTTAAGGATTGACATATAAACACGCATATTTTCATGCATCTATTTTTCACGTCATCATATAGATTGTATGACCATACAGAAGTATGTACAATGTCATAGACACACAAAGTAGGTAAGTGAAGTTATTTCAATTCTATGCCAGGCATGCGTTCAAGTTGTAAAATAAAGACATTTGCAATTCATTTGTGCATATGTACATGTCGTGATATTGACCATACACGCACACGCTGACATAGACATTGAACAAATACGCCGAATAAGATGATGGAGCTTATTTGTCAGGCATAAATGCAGGTTTTAACATACAAACAAGCACACATTCATGTACGTATTCACATCGTCACATGACATCAACTGACAAATATACCATTGTTTTGAACAGCACCAGGGCCATCGCAATTATAAAGGCAAATATCGCGCCTAATACGTAATACAGCATATTGCCTTGGATTGAATCAGATCTCTTTCGTTCGAGTTAAACACTACAAAGGTGCAGCGTACAGGTATATACTGTATTTTGTACTATAATATATTGTTATGCATGAAAACTGTAGACTTGCAGACTTCTTGCAGATTTGCTGTGCTGAGTTTCTCTTCAATTCGTTTTGCGGTGAGCCCTGGTCGGCTGGACCTCTTATTTCTGAGATTCGAAGTGTTCTTACCTTCTTGTGAATATTTATAAAAAATTGTTTGTTGTATTTTTGGGGTTTTTTAATAAAAACCAATTAGAAGGCTATATATGTATGATTTGCTTTTGCCTTTTTTTAACGTTTTTCACCGTATATAAAACCCGAAAACGTTTCTAAAGTTTACAGATCGAATGAAAAAGCGTATACGTTCCACTTTTGGATTGCAACTGTTCACAACAAACGTTCCGAATTCCTGCAGATGTTGGTACCAGTTATCATGTCACTCATGAGTCATGAGTCATCATGTTTTATAAATTTATTCTAACAAAACTGTTAAATGCGGATCTGAAATTCTGAATACTTAGGTAATTTTTTTTAAATTTGCTTTATTATTTCGGTCAACATCGATATTATAAAGGAGTTGGAGGCTATGATTAAATACTGGAAAATAAAATGGTGCCAAAATGACGCATTTTGATATTATAGATTTTAGAAGGCTATGAGATAACAGTTTTTAGAAGGAATCGGTGCTTCTGAAGATCACGGGACGCTCCAGGGGCAATGATTTCACAGCCGATGACATCATGACGAGGAACATTTATCGACCCACGCCGACAAAATCACCAATCCTGCGGCCACGCTGTCTACATTGCATAAGGCTTACACCTTCGCCCATAGACATACAGAAAGCGATAGTAAGCTTGCCTCCTAGCAAGCTAAGCAACTTGTACTCCAGCTCACGACGACCGCAGGCCACTGGCCAGCGTCACTCTGCCCTCTCCGCCGTGTGCGCAAGGACAACTTGACTTTATGCGCACCCATTGACGTTGAACGGCCGACTCGCCAAACGGAAGGTTTTTGATACTTTATTTCTTTCTATTTCTCTGGTTTGAACAATCATATGCGACACTGCAGTGGCGACATTACCTCTCCTTCCTTCTTATGAGACGCGTACCCTACGAACCCGCGTCTAGGGGGTTCTAGTAGAAGACGGTACTGGACCGACTTCGGGACAAGTCCAGTCCTAGGACAAGGACAACAGGACGGTTCTATGTCCTGAGCCCAGGGCAAAAGCCCACATGTCAACTATAGCTAGATTAACCGAGGCCCTGCGAGGCCCTGAGTGCCGGATAAGAATACAGCCCAGACCAAAGGCTGGTTCTAGAGCGAGGATACAATACAACATCCAGCTTAGTTTCACGATAGTAGACAACGTGTACCCTTTGCTACATTGACATAAGTATTGTTTAGCCTTTGTCTATCAACTTGAATCAAGAAGGATTTTGTGTGCAGCGCATTTTAGTTTTGATAATTGAAAATGAACATTCAATATATAAATACTCCGTCATGCGAGCCCGGAGCCCTGGAGGGCAGGATAGTGAGCACAGAGCAGTGAGCACTGCTCGGGACCGGGGCCGAGACCCGGGCGAAGGTTGGTTTGTTCGTCGATACTAAATATGTATTTTAACTTGGAAAAGTTCTTATTCTTTTTTTTTTAAAGTGTCTTTTTTTTGTAAGATTCGGTCGAATAAAGGCGATCTAATGCCTTTTAATTAATGCCTTATAATAAGTAAACGCGTAGGTAAATTCTATATCGTGTAAATATCGATATAAATAAACGAAATGAGACGTTTAATAAAGTTAGGTTTGCCTCGTGAAAACAGCAAGACTCTGAGGGATTGTGAGGCTGAGACATTGCCTATATATAATCCTCTCAGTACTGTTTCCGCCGAAGGGATTTTATTTAGTGTTTCGTTGTCGCTCTATTCTGGGGCTAATCCGAGAGACTCATAAAATCCTATCTTTAGAAAAGAAAAGAAAAATGCTCAACCAATAAGTTGCCACTTATCAAGAATTACCGAATTGGCCTTCATCAGATTGGCACATCTGATTGGCTTATCAGAGGATCAACCTATATTCGGTTGAGCCATCTCGCTACCGAAGTATTCAGATATAAATAAAGTTGGAAAGTACATATAGTTCTATTAATAGAACTAGACCAACTCTTATGTTTGGTATTTTACTGAGGCCTTTTAATGGCCTTGTCCAAATATCTGATATGTAAAATGAAAGGTATTAATAATAAAATCATCAAAACCATTTAGTAAACTTAAGTGCCCGAATTGACTCAGCACATATCCTCCATTGTCGACTCACTTGGCCCAAGCTTCAAACGGGAATTTACTGACCACTTCTTCCCATCAATCTTTCCTGAATCACTACAGCGACTATGAGAGCCATACCATATGCTCATACATTGTATCATACATACTTGCCATTTTTGAAATAAATAATACTATCCCTATTAAGAGTACGTTTATAATTTACGTAGTGCTTAAGAGTACGTTTATAACATAGAGTCTAATGTGGAGGCCCGGCAATTACAACGGCAAAATGAAATACATCAGGCGAAAGGTGTAGCCAAATGAAGCCTGGCACAACTTTCAAATTGCAAAATATGTGCATTACCAATGCATGCACGCAATGTGAAATTTGAGTGTATGTGCGTACGTATGAGTACGTATGCATATGAATACTGTTTTGTGTTAGACTATAAGTCATAAGAACTGCTATTTGAATATATGACATGTGATTTTTTCAAGTGTTATGTCTTGTGTTTATTTTGATTGTAAAAAAAATGGTATGAACACCAATGAAAATAGCCGTAGGTCTTACCCCCTCTCTCTCTATTGGTCTTCCACTGTTGTACACTGCGTTGTATTTTTAGCTGATATTTACTATTATAATATAGCATGTGCAGGCTCTTGACATGCTTTCTCGAAACTTGATATAAATAGACAGTTTTTTACATTAGCAAAGCCAAAATATATATATATATCTTCGATTTATTTTTCTCAATTACATAGGTGATCAAATACTTTACTTTGCGTATTTGTGTATTTGTGACATTAGTCCAAATGTCAAACTTGCTCAACCATGTATTGGGAAACCACTGACGACATAGTGAGCGAGATCTCGCAACTACGATATTGGATTGTAAATTAGTATACGCGGCTTTGCGTCGAGATCAGCTGGTAAAGCCTTTCATACATAGTACGACACCAATGCACGCGACCACGCCTGCGCAGTACAATGGGCTGTATGACCTGAACGAATATACTTTAGATAATTGTCGCACTCTGTTTTCGCTTGGCCCGTGAGTTCTTACGATGTCTGTGTAGAATTAATTTACACTTGAACATACGAAGCTTTCTATCGTATATCGTACATTTGCCAACCTACAATGTTTCCTAACGTGACGGAACGATCACTCTACATCCAATCAGATAGCCATTTCAGACCCTCTAATTCCTCGTCCGTGTATCTTTGGCAGTAAATTACCTGGTGGAATGCATACCAACCGTAAAACGCCAGGAAGTAACAAATTGAGAGTGTAATTTTCTGAACAGTCGGATCTGCAAAGCAAGACGAGAAATTGTATCATTATCTTGTGGTTTGAAGCTAATGCTCAAGTGAAAACAAACAATCCGAAGTGCGTTTCACTTCGCACGCGTACAAGCAAGCCAATGGCTAGAAATTACATCTGCCAGACATCAATAGAGAAACTGGAGTGTTACATGTGTGTTTTGCCACCACACTTTGCTCCACTCCGTTAATAAACTTATCCTACACCTGCAACGATCTACACTCCCCGTACTATAACTGTAGGCAGAAACTTGTAAAAATTGCCGAATTTGTAACTTCAATACCATATTCTCGGAGTAAAAGCACTGGCCTATTATTCCCCTGAAATTTCACAGTATGATATTCCTCAAACTCTCTTCACTCCGTTAGGAAACATATCCTGCGCCTGCTACGATCTACAGACTCCGCACTAATTCTTAAGAGTGAAAGCACTGGGCTGTTGTACCCCCTGAGATGTCACATGTGTGATTTTCCCTCGCACTTCCTCACACAATATCATATTCTTAGAGCGCAAGCACTGGCCTGTTGTTCCAAAAATGTACTGAGCACGAGAATGAATTCAGCGCAGGAGAGCCCAATATCATTACACCTAATGAATACACTAATCAACTAAATATACTTTGATCGAAATTCACAGGTACTGTGAGTTCTCACCACTGCTCACCGGGTTATGTAAGCGGTGATACGTTTCGCTGTGAGCACGAAATTCGCTAAGCAACACACTAAATTCAGTTGCTCCATTAGAAGTGTGTTCAACATCACACAACGTGGAAGTAATAGCGATACTTACTAGCCCGCCTCAGCAGTTGATCTAACCAGAGGCAACCGGCAAGCTCTCCAAAGAACAGAGCAGGCACGTAGTGGTACAGCCAACAGGCACGAGATACCCCCACATACGGAAGAAGGTTGCAGACGTAGCCGCACAGCAGCCAGGACACCTGCAACGTTGAAAGTGTGTGACTCACATTAGACGTGCTTCAGGCGAGTTCCATTTTATGAAATGAAGGGTAACATAGAAATTAGATTGCTCCGGTCAATTCGGACAGATACACGTGCATGGCGTCAGTTGCGCTCTGAATGACGAGCTTCCGAAAACGTTGAATTCTGGAAGAATAGTGCGAGAAATTAAAAATCCTTAATGGGTTGTCTAGCTTGACAATACCTCATATCTTGCCCGCTCAGTGTAAGGCAGCCTCTCCTTGTGCATAGACGCTTCAGCCTTAGTCACCTTGTGCGGCGGTATGTAGAACGAACTATTAAAGATCGCATACAGAGTCGCCTGGCAACAACAAAAAAGGGTAGTGAGTAGAATACTAACGAAGAATCACCCAGAATAATGATTATGCAAGTGGAAGGATTGCTTTTATACAACGACATGCTTCACCACTATGATTAAATCTTAAAGTTATTGACGTCCTCCAAAAAATCGAAGTTCGATACTATAGTGTATGCAAAATGTCAGAAACAATCATGCATCGCAAGCAAATAAGCTCAGTTGATCTTACCAATGTGATGAGAACGGTACTTCCCCACCACACCAGCGGGTTGCCTAATTGATACACCATATGGTTCTTCTCGGTCCAGAACATGAGACCTTTAATCATAAAGGGCCATGTAAACCATCGGGAGGCCCAGGGATGATCCTTATCAATACCTCGATTTGCATCAAACATCGTCTTGTGGATATTCCACACCTTCGTTAGCGTGCTCGGTTGGTCAGCTACGAATCTAGGATCCATTTCCACGTACTCTTCTGAGCCTATAAAGGTCTGCATGTACGGCGTGTCTCCAGCATGCCACTCTACTCCCGGGCCGGTGTGGTTAGCGATGATGAAGTGCAGTGCAAACAGGGCAACGTATACAGAAATCAGCAGCACCAGCATTATGATACCAGCCAGGAGATGGAATAATGTACTGCGCCGAAGCTGCTCAGAGCGTGGCGTACCTTTCTCGGTTAGATAGTACTGATACCCGTGATCGAAAAAGGTGAACAGCTGCCTTAAGCCGATCACACCTACCACTCCCAACCCAGTCCATTTCACACTCAGAGTACACCCCAGAGCCAAGCCGGTTAGAATGCACCAGAAGTACCACTGGATTCCCGGGGCATCATACTATTTTATATGGATATTAGGATTCATAGTGGATATGATTCTGTGGTGGTCGTATTATATTGAACTTCGTTTTTCCTGCACAATCTGCGAGGCAAATGGACGCGCTAGATACAGCCACAGACAGGTTAAACATGATTTAACGTGAGAAAACGGCATGCGAAATTCAAGCAGAAAATGGGTAACGATAATGAGAGCTGACATACTTTGGCAAAGATTTTCTGCGATAAGTTCCAAAACTGCACCGAAGCAAATATGGATAGGGCTAGAAAAAACCACAGAAAGGAATCCATAAATATGCTACGCCCATTAGATATAAGACATCCGTCAAACAGCACCATGCACCCTGCCAACAACGATGTCGCACGTGTAGCGCCGATCGCGCGAAGCGTAAGGTAAGGCAACGGCACCATCATGGCTGGATATTGTGGCACAGGAGAATGAATGTTAGTTGATACAAAAGAAACATCAAGGCTGATTATTGTGCTATTGAGGAGTGACTACTGGCAAATTATAGCAGGTTATTGTGCATCTGTGTAGTGGTTGTCAGTAAAGGTGGATACCTTGCCACTACGAAGCAATTGTCGGCAGATGAAAAAGTGCCGTTATATCTAGATTGCAAATATACACTTAAAAACGGTACAAGGATACAAAACACAAACGCAAGCAGTCGCACCACATGAGGTTATGCGTATCTGGAACTAAAAAAGTATTTCGCATAGGTTGACAACGACAAACTATGCACACATATCGCACCTGAGAATACGGCATGGGTGCTACGAATGACAACGAATGGCCTGTCTTCGTACTTACGACCGATCTTATCCGCTTTGAATTCACGATCAAAGTCGGTAAAGTATGTTGAAATGGCCAGGATGAACTTGCCCAGGGGTGGATGGATATCGAAGAAGTATTCTCGATTGACGTAGTTGAGTGCAAAGCCTAGAAAGTGCACCTGTCAGTGTGAAACGTATGCAACAGGAATTTCCATGCATCAGTTCTTGGCCCCCATCTGACTATGGAAGAAACCCTTGGTAAGCTACTGAGATAAGCCTTCAAAAGTGTGTAATCGCACGTAAATATGCAAAATGATATAAATTGCACATTCACAACTCTATGACAGCGTTGTGCCATGTACTAGCTAAGTGTATTGCATGCGCAGAAGAAGCATAACAATTCATGTATCCAGAAAGAAGTGATCGTAGACTTTGATACCATATACATTTACACGTACTCGTGCAGGAAAATTCACGCAGAAAGTATATACCCAACTGAAACATAGTTTTCAATACACAAACATCCTACAAATCCCACAAATTAATGCATGTCGTCATATCTGCATACTTGTCGTATATCACAAAGGTACATACTCTTGCCTGCATAAATAACCCAGCTCCTGCAATTCAAACCGGAGCACTATATGTGCATACTTATCGTATATTCGGGTATGCGTATAGATCTATACGCTGACAAACGCACACATTCACGTTCACATACGATCACGTTCACATAGGCCCCACATTCAGACATGCCCACGCTCACCCACGCTCACCCACACACAGAATCATCATATGTATGCATGCGAATATATATACATATACATAAATATATGTATATATATATATATATATATATATATATATTATAATAGTAC